CCCCTCACTCTCAAGACACCAAGGAGAAGCTACTCATTATACACTTAGGCGAAGCCATACTCTAGTAGTAGCATAGACAATAAGGAGAGAGCGAGGAGAGTGTGGAGAAGGGTCGGGCCTGTCTGTTGTCTTCTCCAATCTGTACCTCGGCGAATGCGGGCTTGTCTATAAGCATCTGGGATTCGTTATGGTATTTGATCCTTAATTCTGGTAAAGTATTTACTTCTGTTGTTCATCGGTTCACCGCCCTTAACCTAGTACTCTAATCAATTTCATCGGGATTCGGACTAGAGTAGTAAGATATAGTGTAGACATGATGTCTAGGCTATACGTTTACCTATGTCTACAGCTTAACCCATGGTTTGTTTGTGGTAGTCAGCAGGTGGTGATGCCCATATCTGATCTCTGTATTCCACCCATTCGGGTAAGCTCTTGAAACATAGGTCTTCTCTGCTAGGTGGTTTAGCACCCTTCTCATCCCCCTTCTATTGCTAAGTGGCCTAGTGACCCAAAGTGAACAACCTTTGTATCTATCTTACCTTTCTAGTTTCATAACCATAGAAATCCTCTTTACCCAATCTATCATATACCCTTGTCTCATCCTAGGACGAACTTAGTTCTTTGTTAAGCTCACTTCACATTCCCAGTGGAGATCGATAGCTTGGAATACTTCCGGGTGAAAGCTACATTGATAGTTGTGTTCTTGCGGTTTATTCTGTGTGCCACCTTAGTGTCAACAAGCTTTCTGGTGCCATTGCTAGGAATGGTAATTGTTCTTAACATAGAATTGAGTCATCCATTTATATTTTTTGTTTATCCTTTATACCTTGGACTCAACTCCTCTATCAATTTGTCGCTCCAAAGGTCGCTAGTATGGAGCCACCACAATCATCAAACCGATTCATACACTTGGCTATGAGCTTCGTCCTTATTTCATAGCCATAGTTCGGGAGCAATCATTTGCTTGGGAAGAAGATGAAAACTCCTACACCCATTTACGGGAATTCGAGCAGATGTGTTCATGCCTTCATATTGATGGCATGTCACAAGAAACCCTGAAATGAAAGCTATTTCCGTTCTCTTTGACGGGATTAGCTAAACATTGATATGCACGTAATGTAGGGAGTGTACAAGGAGAGTGGGAAGATTTGTAAACCAAATTTTGTCTATCCTTCTTTCCTATCTCTCGAGTTGTTCATCGTCAAATGAAGGTCCTAACCTTCAAGCAAAAAGAGAATGAACCTCTAGGTGCATCATGGGCCCATTTTACCGATCTTGTCTCTTTAGGCCCAGATCTTGCTATACCTAATCCAATACTCTTACAACATTCATATATGGGTCTTAGCAAGAATTCTGCATAATTTCTTGATATAGCCTTTGGAGGAACTTTCCTTCATTTATCTGCTAGTGAAGGGTGAACTATTCTTGATAAAATCCTTGAAAACACTCCTTACACCGGCATTCATGATGAACTCCCTGAGGAAGAAGAGGAATCATCCCCCAAGTAAGAAGAAGAATTTCAAATAGCTGAATCACCACCACTCCAATCCCAAGATTTTGCTATCAATGCCAAACCACCAATACCCCAAATCCCAACTCCAAAGAAACAAGAAATTCAACCTTTGGAATTCCCTTTTGAAATCAAGGATGATCTTTTCTCTGATTCTGATTTAGGAAACACCTCGACTTCCCTGTACAAAAGAGATCTTCTGCATCATCGGCTCCAAACCTTCATTCTCCAAACCATCTCAAGGAGATGATCCAGGAGCTAATGTCCATCTTGAGCAACGAGTGGCTTAAGGAGGCTGAAACTTTGTCCAAAGTAATTCAGATCATTTTCTCCCTCCACAACCATCTGTTGTTTCATGAACAACACTGCTTTAAACTCTCTTTACAATTCCACCGTCAGAGTGAATATCATGTTTGATTCTCTAGCTTATGCTGTCTTTGCTGGCGATGAACCTCTAACTCCGACTGACAAACATCTCAAAATTCCATCTGGAAAAGTCATCAAGAGTCATGGGGTTGCACGCAATCAAATCACCATTAATCAACTCAAGTGGCAAACCAACCCGCCCCGCACCATGTCATGCATGCACGTGTGGCACATCTTTTGCTTCTCTTAACTTCACAACAGATGTAAACCAATCACCCATTTAACTTGATTTGACCGTTAGTCAATTTCCCCCGTGGGACTAAGACTCCGGTGCTGTTTGGTTAGGGCTTGTAGGCCCGCAATTGGTTCACAGCGCAAACTGATCCCACTGCTTCCCATTTGGTTACGCATGTCTTTAACAGATCACGACATTAACGGATGCGGCCCAGTACAATGGCGATACCGCTCGTCTTCCAGCGGTATCCGATCCCCTCGCGTAATCGCAAGAAAAATCTCCACCCGAACCACCGGAAGACGCTCGCGCTCTTGTGCATGCGCCGCCATGTCTCCCACGCGTCTTCGTCGCTTCGCCGCCGACCCTGCCACAGGGAGGATTTGTCTTCATGGCGTCCTCCTCAACCCAGATGTGTGTGCACCTCCATTCTCTGCTTGCCGTCGAATCCATAGTTTCAGTGAGCCTCTCCCTCCTCTTCATCTTCTCTGCGATTTGGAGCCATCAGCACCAGTTTCTAGCCCCAGTGCTCTGTCTCGGCTTCCTATTCTGATCCTCCTCGGCTTCGTGTTTCTGCTGCGAGGGATTCCGTCATGAGCCACGCACACCTTCACGGCGGGCAAAGCCGCTCCAAGCGTGGCAAGTTTAGGTTCCGATTCTTCTATTATCTTGTTCCAAACCAAACACATGGATGGCAATTGAAACCACTACGACGAGTAAACAAACAATCTCCACTTTCCATTACAGTGTAAGCATTAGCCCTGCAATCTGATCCCATTTATCTTACCACTTACAGAGCTAAACCAAACACTACCATCTAGCATTTAATCAGAGCCTTAGGATTTATTTGATTTTACTTGAATAAAATTAGGTCAAGCCTAATAAAATCCAACACTGAATTGGGTCAATGCGTGCTTAGTTGCCTTTAAATTCTAGAGGGTTTTACCCGTGAAAGATTATCGTTGTTTACATGCCACTAAAAAGTTTGAGGGCACCCATTTGCCACTAGCCAGAACTTTTCTATCGTCCACGCCATTCCGTCCACCTTCGGTTCAATTTTCACCATTTAGCTGCCCTGACACGTGGGCCCATCAGTAAAGATGTCCAGAATATCCCCCCTCTCTCTCTCTCTCCCGATCCATCTGCACGTCCGCGCCGCCCCTCTCCGTGCTCGCCAGATGCGTCCTTTCGAGTGGCGGTGGGTGGGTCTTGTGACGGATGGTCTTGAGCCGCCGAGGAGGACGCCGCGTGCAAAACCGGCGTAGGGGATGAGTGGGGTCGATGGCGGAGAGATGAGATGGCGACGGCAGCAATGGCTGCGCTAGAGAGGTGAGGCGAAAGCCAACATGAGGATGGACGCCTGGCTGTTAATTTGGTATTAAAGTCGGCTTATCGGCCACCAAAAGCTTTTTTATTGTGAGAAAAAAATACTGTATATTCTAGCTGATAAGCCGGCTCAAGCGAACAGGCCCGTAGGAGCTGCTGAGGCCACCGGCTCCAATGCCGCGGACGCCGCGTGGGCCCTCGACAGGTGCGGCCAGGGTGGCGGTGGCGGATAGCCGCTCTATGACTCCAGGGACTGCCCGTTCCTCGACGTCGGCAAACCTGTTGCTGCGGAACGGCAGCCGCCCGACGCGTCCTACACCAAGGCGCTGGCAGCGTGCGTCGCGCCATCTCCAGTGTTCGTTTTCGTTGCTTCGATTTCTTTGCTATCTTCTTCCTTGCTTCAGTCGTTCCATGTCCGCCATCTCCAGATTCTGGAGATTGGTTTGCTAAGCTTGTCAGAGCGGAAGAAGCGTGCGTGGGCATACTACTATCTCCGTGCATTTTCTTTTTGTTGAATCTTGAACCGGTCTAAATTTGGTCTTTGCTACTTCAAACTTTCAACACTTTGGGCATTGGTGGAACAATGAGAAAACAATCGGCGCATAATGCGCGCCAGGCCGGCAAAATCCACGATTCAAGCGCTGTGTAAGCCAGTGGCACAAGAGGAACGGCAAACTTTTGCGTGGTGCTCAGACCTAAGGTCAGTTTGGACTTTTCATGCAGCAGTTTAATACCATTAGAGATAAAAAATGGATGGAATGGCTTGTGCGATAAAAAAGTTTCAGCAGTAGCATCTGGGTGCGCTCGAACTTTTTAGTGTTATGTAGACAAGGACCATCTTTTTGTAATGGCACATGGACAAAACCCTCAACCTCAACTATAACTTTTTCACGGAACTACTAGCGCTGTGTGGTTGTATTGCTCGTGCTCTCAATGTGATGATATTTTTCTATGTGAAAACGAAAGGTAGATGACCCAGCTTGGTGTGTCACCATCTTATAGCAGATAGCAGTTGGCAGGCTGTGGTTGTATTGGTCATGCTCTTAATGTGATGATATTTTTCTATGTGAAAACGAAAGGTAGATGACCCAGCTTGGTGTGTCACCATCTTATAGCAGATAGCAGTTGGCAGGCTGTGGTTGTATTGGTCGTGCTCTCAATGTGATGATATTTTTCTATGTGAAAACGAAAGGTAGATGACCCAGCTTGGTGTGTCACCATCTTATAGCATATAGCAGTTGGGATGTGTTACCATCTTATAGTAGATAGCAGTTGGTAGGCTATAGTTGTATTGGTCGTGCTCTTAATGTGATGATATTTTTCTGTGTAAAAACGAAAGGTAGATGAGCCAGTCTGATGTGTCACCCTCTTATAGCAGATAGCAGTTTGCAGGCCGGTAGCGCTTCTGTCTTGCTACACCAAGCACCGAGTTTCCCTGTTTTTTTTTCTTTTTTTTTTCTTCTGACTGCAACAGAGAGTTTTTGGTTTATTTCCCCCTGGCCCTTGCAGTGCTAGAGATGGCACAATAAAATTCCTGCTGCTTCTCTAAATTTCTTACTTGGGGAAATGGAGGCTGCAGTAAGTTCCACCATGGGGGCCATGGGCCCTGTTCTCAGGAAGCTCGATCTGCTGCTAACTTCCGAATCTCGGCTGCGGAAGACGGTGAAGGACGGAATCGGACTCCTCAAGCAAGATCTAGAGGAAGTATGCTCCGCCCTCGTGGATCTATCGATGCTGGAAACTCCCAGCCTCAGGGCCAAGTGCTGGATGGAGGAGGCGCGAGAACTGTCTTACCATATAGAAAACTTTGTCGACGACTTGATGCTGATCCGCACAGACGCCGGTGCCAAGATAAGATCCGCCAGCAGCCATAGGGTTGGTCGCGTGAAGATTGCTCTGCTTCCCGCGCCGCTGAGGCGCAGCACAAGGGTCGCCAAGATTGCCCAATTGAGGGATCTACTGTGGCAGGCTAGCGAGCGGCTCGAAAGGTACCAGCTTGACGCTTGTTGCTCCAGCCCGAAGCATATGAATCTGATCACTCAGCACCGCCGGGCTCCGGCGTTGTATGGAGATGCGGCCAATCTTGTGGGAATCGAGGACTCCAGGACCAAACTGATTGAAATGCTTACCGGGGAAGCAAAGCAGCAGCTGAAAGTGGTATCCATTGTCGGACCTGCAGGTGTTGGCAAGACCACTCTTGCGATAGAAATTTTCCATGAACTTAGAGGCCAATTTGAGTTGCGAGCATTTGTACATGCTTCGCGAAAGATTGACATGAGAAGGCTTCTTGGGAGCATTCTCTCCCAAGTTCAGCCGCACCACCAACTACCCTCTGTTGCTAGTACAGTGCAGAGCCTCATTGACAGTATTCAGGAACAACTCCGAGATAAGCGGTATTTTGTCTGCCACTTTATTTTTAGCTTTCCTAGGCGTATTACAATGGCTTAGTTGACTCATTAGTATTAAATAGGTTAAACAGTTATGCATAGAGGAAGCCTCTTGTATCTCAGATCTTACTATCCAAAATACTTGTGGTTTGACTCTACCAGAAGCATGTTGATCCAATTTAGAATGGTGTCACTAACTACCTTATGTACAACTGCACCAACTATTATGTGAAATTTTACTGCGATTACTAGTTTCTACTACATATGGTCTAAGATGCAGGAAATCCTTTTTGGGAACACATACCCACACCCTATGTGTAATCTAAGGTGTAGAGCTTGATTTTTCCTACTGGTCCAACTTGTGCCTCTGCACGGGTTATTAGTTCTAAGATATAAGTGTTATAGATTCATGGATGAATGTGAGTGACATAGCAAACTTGTTTTGCTCGCTCTCATTTATTCAAATTTGAACACCATACTTAATCTAGATACTTTATTATCTTCATCTGGTTGTTATAGACGTTTACCTGATATAGCATACTTGTAATATTAATTTTTTTACAGGTACTTAATTGTAATTGATGATTTATGGGAAGAAACAGCATGGGACATTGTAAGAGGTGCTTTTCCAGAGGGCAATAATTGCAGTAGAATTGTAGCAACTACAGAAAACATGAATGTAGCTCTTAAGTGTTGCGGTTATATGGCAGATAATATTTTGAAGATGAAACCTCTTGGCATTCAAGACGCTGGATACTTATTCTTCAATCGAGTTTTTGGCTCTGAACAACAATGCCCTGATGAACTGAAAGAAGTTTCATATGGTATAATAAGAAAATGTTTCGGTCTTCCACTGTCCCTCATCCATGTAGCTGGTCTTTTAGCAAGCATAGACTACTCAGAACTATGGTACCATGTACATGATTGTTTATGCTCCATTCTTAATAGAAGTCATACAGCTGAAGAGATCCAGAAAAAAATACTAAACCTTAGTTACAATAGTCTTCCTCGTCATTTGAAGACATGCCTGCTGTATTTCAGTATGTACCCAGAGGGTTACATAATGTGGAAGGGTCATCTGGTGAAGCAATGGATAGCTGAAGGTTTTATTAATGCAGCAGGAGGAAAAGACAGAGAGGAAACTGCAGAGGGCTATTTTGAGGAGCTTGTCAATAGGGGAATGGTCCAACCTATGAAAATTGTCTACAATGATGAGGTGTTGTCATGTACAGTGCACCATATTATATTTGATCTCATTAATCATAATTCCAAGGAAGAGGAATTTATTGCTGCAATAGATTACTCTCAACCAATAACAGGACTTTCTACAAAAGCCCATCGACTGTCCTTCCGATTCAGTAGTGCCAAGTATGCAAAGCAACCAGCAAGAATAACAATGTCACAATTGCGATCGCTTGGATTCTTTGGATTCATTAAGTGTATGCCTCCGATTGTGGAATTTAAGCATCTCCGAGTTCTAGTCCTTGACTTTTGGGGCAGTCATGATGGACACATGAGTTTGAACCTCTCAAGGATTTGCATATTATTTCAACTGAGATATCTGAAGATTTCAGGTGATATCATGGTTGAACTACCAGCCGAGATGCAAGGGCTACATTATTTGGAAACACTAGAGATAGATGCAAGACTATCTGCAGTTCCATTGGATATTGTCCATCTTCCGAGTTTGTTGCATCTTGGTCTCCGAGCTGCAACAAAGTTACCAGATGGGATTGGCCACATCAAATCTCTAAGTACACTATTGTATTTTGACCTCGGATGTAACTCTGAAGACAATATACGGAGCTTAGGACAGCTGACAAACCTTCGGCATCTTCACCTAACCTGTTCTGCAGTTCTGTCCAGTGACCACCTTAAGAGAAAGCTGATACCTCTAGCTTTTTCTCTTGGGAAACTTGGCCATCTCAAATCTCTCACCCTGACTCCTGATGCCTTAAGAACAGCCATTTTGTTTGATATCTCGAGCGGTATCTTCTCTCCTTCGATCTTTCTTCAGAGACTTGAGTTCTTACCACCAATTTGCTTCTTTTCCAGACTGCCCACTCGGTTTGGTGAACTGCACAAACTCCGCATTTTGAAAGTTGTGGTGAAAGAACTGAAGGGAAATGATATTAACAACATTGCTGGATTACCTTCCCTCGTAGTTTTCTCACTGTATGTGTGGACAGCTCTGACTGGAACCGTCATCTTCAGCACCATGGCATTCCCAGCTCTCAAGTACTTCAAATTCACATGTGGTGTGACGTCCTTGGCTTTTCAGGCAGGAGCCATGCCCAGTCTTCGAAGGCTCAAGCTTTGTTTCTATGCCCATCGAGGTGAGAACCATAGCCGAGTGCTTGATGGCATTGAGCACCTGGTAAACCTTCAGGAGGTCTCTGGACGAATTGGTGTCCTCCCAGGTGGTGATGAATCCGACAGGAGGGTTGTCAAGATGTCATTAGAGGATACCATTAGAAAGCATCCAAGGTGTCTTAGATTTAACCTACAATTGGTAGATTTCATAGAGGAAAAATATTATCCTCCTTTAGTTAAGTTGCATCGGAGGCAGCAGGATGAACATGAGATTGCAGAGAAAGACTGTGCAGAAGATATGAACAAACAAGTTGATAGCAGGTATGGATTCGTATTCAGTAATTCTTCACCCATGGACCATTTTCCAGAAACAGATTTTCAAGCAGAAAGTAGGAGTACTAGCAATATACTTCCCATTCGATATAATCAACGGTTGGATCGCCACAAAGCAGCAAAGCCTATCGAGCACGAGTACAAGCGTATGAGGTGGGTGCTGGGAATGTCAGCGTCAGATGGCGTATCATGGTCACCCTCGTCGGAGGCAGAGCAGCAGCCGTCGCCAGAGCTCTGGTCCTCGTGCTTTCTCGACCTTACCCCCAGCAAGGGCGTCCATATTAGCGAGAGCATGGGGTTGAAGGTCGACAAGCTCTGCCACACCGTGGAGCTCTCGGGGCCTGAGGATTTTGTCATCTCCCTAGCTGCGTGGCTGGGAGGGGCTGATGAACGTGGGGACACTCGTCACGTTTCAGACACAGGTGAAGATAATGAGGTTGAGGATGGGGTGGTAGCGTCGCAGGGGGAGCTGGAAGAGTTGAGAATAGAGACCTTCGAGAGGTTCACTGGAACATCTTCCTTGTCGATGACGAGTGATGATGACGCATCCAGTAGGACCAGTACGACCATCTCACCGGATATGAAGCTCGATCGGAAGATTAAGTCATGGATGCGCGGTGCTCTTCTGGGAAGTGGCTCATTTGGGATGGTGTACGAGGGGATCAATGAGTAAGTTCCAATGCTTTTGAATATTATGCTATGCGTTCCTGTTGCAACTCTATACCAAATCACATCCTGCTGGTGCTAGTGCAACGTACATATGAATATTGTATATGCAAAGTCCAGTGTATATAGACCATCTAATTTACACTATAACTGGGCAATGAGGTGAGAGAACACTGGAGCCATTACTGTTACACGATGAAAGAGCCTTTCTCAAGTCAATACTTGCAATATCTCTGGTTTCTCATATTATATAGTTTTCTAGGACTAAGGGATAAGTTCTGATTTCACTTATTTCGGTGTCATATAACAAGCATCTCACACTCTTGCCATGAAGCCCAAGTGCGTTGTAACCTGGTAAAACAGAATGTATCGAGTGCCTGATCTTGTTCACCGTTTCACTAATCTAGGCGAACTTAAGATAGGCTTAATTTGGACGTATGTTGATTTAAGGGAAATTATAGCATACAGCATGGTCAGTAACAACCAGACCAGGACTATCACAACAGCCCTTTATTGGTCGATTCCCAACTGTTTGTCATCAGTAACCTGCTAGTGCCACAGGCAACTTCATGGTAAATTGTCCTGATGAAAGAACTCGTTCATGTATTAGTAATGTAGTAATCATTCAACAAGTTCTTTCATGAAAAGTACTTTAGGAATTGGATTTTTTTATTCAGCTTTGAAAGATTCTTAGGAGTAGCCATAGAGAATGTATTTCACCTGAATACCCTGATTATAGAAGTTATTCAAACACCACTTATTTTTTTGGTCCCATTGGAAATAATTTGATATATGCCAATGTCTGCAGTGAGGGTGCCTTTTTTGCTGTGAAGGAAGTATCTTTGCTTGACCAAGGAAGCAACACACAACAATTTATTTTCACACTTGAGAAGGTTATAGATGATAATATTATCTGTTGCCGGTGGTGCTTCATTTGTCATTACTTGTGTCCAGTCCATTTCTAACTTTGAGTTTTGAATTTTCAGAAAATTGCACTCCTTAGCCAGCTTGAACATGAAAATATAGTGCAGTATTATGGAACTGAGAAGGTGCTCTGCTGTTCTTTCTAATAATTTTATGTTTATGCATTTAGTTAAGACATGATTTAATTTAAGTGATCATTATGCCATTTGCCCAGTTGTTTGCATGTCTTAGCAATATTGATCAACTCATTTGTTCCATTTACATTTCAATGAAGGGAGAATCGGCACTCTATATTTTTATTGAGCTTGTAACACAAGGATCTCTTTCATCCCTCTATAAAAAGTACAAACTACGAGAAGTGGATGTCTCTACATACACATGGGAGATTCTTAATGGATTGGTTTACCTTCATGAGCGAAATGTTGTCCATAGGTACTAACCTGCCATTATATGAAATTTATTGGGGGCGATGAATTTTCATTTCAATGTTTGTAGTGCTATGATTTTTTTTTTGGGGCGCTATGCTGTTGGAGTGACAACCTGAGCACTGCTTAGTGCTTACCTAAGTGTCAGCATTTTGGGAAATCCAGATCAAGAAAAAACTTGAATTCATTATTAGAACAGACCACTTTTCTGGATTATTCTAAAACTTGTCTAAACATACAACCTAACTTTGAAATGTATAAATGTTATAGTGCATTATCTTTCTTAATGGTGCTCATTACTTTTGTGGGGGACATGGATATGGGTCTGTTGGGATACACCAGCTATTCTTTAGCTGGCTAAATTTAGCTGCTACGTATCCAAATGGCCAGCTAAGGCCAGCTAAAATTTAGATGAGTCTATTAGCTGGAGGATCCAAACACCCTAGCTAAAGTTTAGCTGGAGAACTTTTAACTGGCTAAAGTTTTATTTTAAAATTTTAGCTAGCTAAACTTTAGTTGGGTGGATCCAAACAGGCCCTGTATCTGTAGGATCCTTTCATTTGGTGCAGTAATTTTGTTAAGCTGAAACAATTGCTTGTATACAGAGATATAAAATGCTCCAATATATTAGTCCATGCAAATGGATCTGTAAAGCTTGCGGATTTTGGATTGGCAGATGAGGTCAGCCTTCGTCTTTCTGCTCAGTTATTTTCCTGTTCTTAATGTCAACTGTCTTATGGGGAGTTTTCTTGTTCAAGTTTCAGATGTCAAATTTTAATGTGGTAAAAAAAGGCATAGGAAGTGTTTACTGGATGGCACCTGAGGTAATTAAAGCTTACAATTTGACATTCGAGTGGTTGCAAAAAGATAACAACTATTGGCAAAATTGCAATTGCCTGTTAACATTTCTTATCACTTTTGTGTGACTGCCATTCTTTGTAGTGGAAATCACCCATTTTGATGGTAACTTTTTTCACAAGATGGTAGTTGTGTAGTATCTGTCGACTGGAACTAACTCACCATCTCATTTTCAGGTTGTTAATCCTAAAAAGACGCATGGGCTTCCAGCTGATATATGGAGCCTTGGCTGCACCGTGTTGGAAATGCTAACCAGGCAAATACCATTTCCTAATGTTGAGTGGGTATGTCATCTTTTGATTTTACTGTTTATAGTAATGTAATATTGGTTTACCCATCCCTTTTCAAATACTGGCAAGTTTAAATATTGTGTGTTGACCTTATTTGATATTTAGTATGATAAACATTTGGACGAGAAGATTGTAAAAATTATGACGAATAAAAACCATATTCTTTATTGGACTTCGCAATAAAAAAACACTAGAATGTTCAAAAGGTTCCTCCCTTTTCTGTTTTATTAAAGGCAAACTTCCCTTTATCTGTCAAATAAAGTCAACTGTGAAAGTCATTGCTTATTTTCCTTGCAATCTAGTATATTGCATCTCCTGTAAATTTTAATTGGAAATACAACAATTGTATCCTTTTTCTAACATAAAACTGGCAGGAGTTTTGCCAGAAACAATTGTATCCTTGTGGCTACAAAGATTTGGCCTTTCCTTGATTTTTTAGTACTTTGTGTGAGAATAGAACCTTTACTAGTGTGTGAGATCATATACATATGCATTGTGCTTCTCTCCTAATAATGTTTTTAAGCCATTAAAGCCGTTAAAGTCATTGCTTATTTTCCTTGCAATCTAGTATATTGCATCTCCTGTAATTTATAATTCGGATTACAACAATTGTATCCTTTTTTAACATAAAACTGGTTGGAGTTTTGCCAGAAACAATTGTATCCTTGTGGCTACAAAGATTTATTGATGCTGCTTCAACGATGGCCTTTCCTTGATTTTTTAGCACTTTGTGTGAGAATAGAACCTTTACTAGTGCGTGAGATCATATACATATACATCGTGTTTCTCACTTAATAATTTTTTAAGCCGTAGCTAGTTTGCGCAGTGTTGGTCTCCATTTCTCCACTAATTTTGCTTTGTTTCTTGTAGACAAAAGCTTTATACATGATTGGAAGACGAGAGCAACCTCCTATTCCAAAGTACCTGTCAAAAGAAGCGCAAGATTTCATTCGCCATTGTGTAAGAGTTGATCCAGAGACCCGGCCTTCCGCATCACAACTTTTGGAGCACCCATTTGTTAGAGCATCTCCAAGAGTACCAAAACAATCTCCCAATCCAGAAAATTTGGAAATGGGGGCCCGTTTGCTTTGCTGAAAAAACAAGCCGAAACACTGTTCTGGCTGATTTAATGTGAGAGAAAAACACTGTTCCGGCTGAAAAAACAAGCTGAAAAGTACGAATTATAAGACAAGCGAACAGGGCCTAGAGAAAATTCATCTCCAACAACTACCAAACCCACCTAATTTTTTTGGCACTTGGAAAAAACCACCCCCATGTGTTTAAAGTTACGTGCGCATCCTCGTGCCTATCTGAAGCTGGAAGGATGTGGTGAAGAAAAAAAAGTAGGACAGGGTTCCTGATGCAAATGTACAAGAGAAAAATAAAGTATAAAAGTGGTTGACGTGATTTAGAAATAATTTATGATTCCTGATGTAAAATTACCTTTTATTTTTAGGCGCGAGATTTTAGAAACCATTGGAGTTGTAGCTTTTTTACGTTTCTCAATATATTTTGCAAAGATTAGAAAAACTGTTTTTAGACTATTTTTTTAGATACCGTTGAAGATGCTCTTAAGAGGCCACGGATCCAAGGAAAAATGGTGGCAGAGGTTCCTTCCTCTCATATTCTACCTGTAGCCCCTCCACCTAAAGCTTCCATGGCTGCAAATTTGGACGGAGAAAAGGTGGCCTACGAGGGGCTCGAGCCCCACCTGACCGCTAGATCTACCTTCCTCCTATTTGAATCTTCATCACTCCTACCCTCCACATGTAATGCTGAAAGTGGGATGTGTTCCCCGGTAAGTTTCTTCTTTAATCCCTATTAGAAGAATGATCAAGCTTCAATGTTCTCATCTTTCGAGATTATTTAGTTATAATATATAGTTTTTCATCGTTGTAATCTTAGTCGATCAGTTCCGTCTATGTTTCTTAGGTCTTCTTGATTGTGGGCCTGGTGCCGGAAAGCATGTGTAGTCTTCCGATGCCGAGCGCATCGGATGGTTTTTCTTCTTGAGGTCTTTCGGTAGGTTTTGTACAGTAACTCTTGGTAGGTAAATAAAAGGGGTCAAATTGCCTGTGAATATGTGATACAGGGATCTATCTTTAACCGTTAATTCTGCAAATGTTTGACATCACCATTCTTTATATATACACCATGCATGGCTTCCTTACATAGATTGGCAGAACTCCTGCCGTTCTTTTTCCCAAAAAAAATAAAAAAAACCATGCCTTCCTAAAAAAACTGGTAATTTTTTACTCTACTATACTACTATTGATCAGCTGGAGTGCATAGAGTAAGATTTATCTATAATGTTCCTTTTCATATGCATGGCAATTCTTATCGCGGAAAGAATATCCAAAATGTTCCTGTCCATATGGCATCCCTAGCGTCCCTTCGGTCTCTAACGATAGGAAGCAGGCTCCCTATCCGGCGAGCGGCGTGCGCGCACGGTGCTGTCGCGGCGGCACAAAAATAGAGATGTGTCCCACTCCAACGTAGCAATGAGAAGGCAGACGGCCGCTCGCCGGATTATTCGTTCTTTCCATGGCCGCTGGCTTCTCGCCGCCGGAATACCTGAGCGTCTCCCGGCCCTCGCGGGCACGGGTGAGCACTGAGCAGGTCCCGAGGAAGGCGCCATCTGCCGCCGCGCTCGGTTTTGTTGCTCTATCTTGCTCTACGACATGTATCGGTGTATATATGTCGCCGTTGATCTTGAGCCTGGAAGCCGTACCGGTACCGTACATGTAGAGATCAGCGCGAGACCCCCAAGGGGCATGCCAGTGAAGTTGGTGTTCACCCATCACCGTAGGTGCCATTCTTGCCGCCCTGGGTCTACTCCAGATGCAGAGCAAGAGCTCCGGAGCCTAGTGGGTGTGGGTAGGTCTTGCTCTTGCCCAAGCGTGGAAACCATCGGTGCGGCGCGCGTGGTCGAAGCTCGGCCAGTGCCAGATCGCTAGTTCCGCCGCTGATAGCTGGAGGTTCCGGGGCGCAGGACGGTGTCAGCAACATCCCTGGCGTTCTTGATGACAATGCTCTGACAAGGAAGACTCACGAGAGGCTGATGGAGACCAGGCCCGGCCTGCACGTCCCAGGACCAAGAATGCACGCACGCTACTACGGCCCAGACTGGAGGCACGCCTGATTTCCTGCTTAGTGTACATACTAGCGTAGTATAAGTAGCGCTCTCCCTGGAGGACTCAGTTATGCTTCAATACTAAGAACTCGTCTTTGTCTCGCCCCAACCTTGTTCTTGCTCCTTCCTTATATTCCGATTCCTCTGTTCCTCTTCCTCTGCTGCTAACAGATGGTGGCGGGCGTGACGGTCCCCGGGCACATCGCGGTGGCCACCCGAGGCATGGCCGGCACGCCGCACGCCTAGGTACAATTAATAAAAACCGCGCAGATGGCCCCTGGCCAGCTCGAAGGCGCGTTGGTTTGGTTCCCACTGCCCAGTGACTACCACCGCGATAGCATCGCGCGCGGCCCCGTCGACATGAACGGCGTCCTGCGCGCTTGCGTGTAAAAGAAGGCGAGCAACGCGAGCGCGCTGCAGTGGCAGCACGTACGGGCCATTTATTCACTCATTTTCACTGAAGAACTTCAAGAAGTGTGATTGGAGTGTGCACTGGCTTAGTGGCTTGACAATTTGGCATTGTAATGGCAAATTGCATGATATACATTGGTTGAACTGATCCATCGCCAATCTCGGTACTGTGGTGTAGTGTGAATAGTCGTTTGAGAACCTTTATATGTGTCCACAGATATGCGTGGTCTCAATCCTCATTCAGATTTTGTCACAGGCTCACGTCCAACTACTTTTCGCTGTCAATATTGCATCACAATATATGGAAGATTCATTGTATAGAGCATTGTAACTTGATTGTGCTTACCTTTTCCTGATTGACACATGAAGTTCATGAGACTGCTTGAAGCATGCATGGTTCTGTAAGGTTCGCTTGCATTCATTTCACTCACGACATGCTTTGATCCTTCGCTCAGCACTAAGTAGCCTTGCCAAGCGAGGATACACGGTGAAACTCCTTTGTTTGGATGTTCAGCCGGAGTGCCTAGAAGCTTGTACGAGTAAGGTTTTCCTTGTCAGCACAGGAGAGCCAAAACAGAATATATAGGCGGCCAAATGAGTTGCAGAATCCAAAATTGGCCATTGGATGATACAGCACTTGGTAGTTTGCAGGAAACTGTGGCACCCTCATCTACGTGTCTGCTCCTATGTGGATGTGTTTGACAGCGGGGCGAGCCTATAGCTCACACGGGTCATGCATACATGTCGCTGATGACATCTACGCTTAGAGTGGTGAGCTGGTGGCATTATTAGGGGCCATTTAGAAGAGATTTATATATGGCAGCTCTTCCTCTACCAAACAGGTCAAAAGCGAGGTGCTCATCGCGTGAAGCTCCCGAAATCGTGCTAAGGCTAGTCTCAATGTTGTTTCGTGTGTATTAAATGATGTGCCACCTCAACAAATATGATGAGACGGCACTTTTTTATGAGGAAAGAGAAGAGAGGAGTCCATCGGCATGAAACAAGTATGCACCGTTTCCAACGTCTATGAAACCGTGTGAAACCCACACTGACGCCCCCATTCGTTTGGGCTTGTTTTCCTTATAAACCGTACTTTTTTAGCCAACGAATAGTATTTTTCTCTCACACCAAATCAGTCAATAATACTTTCAGCCATGGTTTATCAGCCAAACAAGCCCAAACGAACAGAACGTGAGGCATTGTAGTTTCATCTTCGTCCTTTTTCTTGATCCTCTATGGCTGCCTATGCCTGTCCCGCTCCTTGCGATTGCGAATTCGCTCTCTCCAGCCATCTCTCCCCATCTCCTGACTCCAGCAGCACCTGCAGCTTGACCATCAATCCACGATGTACGACACGACCAAGATGATTATTCTAGTGCTTGTTACCTGATGATTATTCTAGTGCCATCTCTCCCCATCTCCTACAATTTTTTGTACAGTATATTTCAGCTGTGGCCAAACGAAGATTACCCAGGTTCAGATCAGAGCTTGATGTCTTTTAAAAATTTGTTGTGGCCAAAGAAAGCTTGTCTGGTTCGAATCGAACATTGGTTCTGAATTATTAGTGTCTCCGAACATTGGTACATAATCCATATGGCACATCTGATCATCATACCATGCAACACTTAAATGATGTGGTTGGCTTGTGAAACCGTGAAATGAAACTATGTATTGAGAGAAGTTGTTTCATTCATTAGTCTAAACTTCTAGAGCTGATGTGTCACTCTTGGAAGTTCACTGTTTCGGGCCTTCTCATGTACAGCATTCTGGTAACTGATAGACTGACCACATTCTGTTACAACTTCAGTTCTGTTGACTTTTAATGTTCTATTCTTGATTTTGGGACTTTGGGATGGGATTTGTTCTTGATCACTAAATATTCTGACAGTTTACCAAAGAAAGACACATCAGGATTGTGAGGTTTTTCATGTGACCCTTCAATCACACCACATATGTGTGAAGCAGGAAGTTCATCGATGTTGGATTAAGGTTCCAGCTGATTTGCCCCTCCTTCTGATGATACAGTCATACAGAACTCCAAACCAATCCAAAGCTTGAATAACTCAACTGTTCCTTTAGTAATAGTCTGTCAACTCTAATTGTTTGTTTGTAGAAATATTTATTCCGCAGAGCCTTCAAAAAACATGTGACCTAGAAGCAATGAAAAAATGGCACAACATCATATCACAACTCAAGCAACATTTACTGCCTTTCTAGATATAAAGTAGGTAATGTAAATGTACAGAATGGCTAGTTGCAAGCTGCAATCAGAGAGCTGAAACTAAATAAATAAAACAAAAAGGCCACTATTCTCCAACACCTCACAAGCTGCATCTTTGCACAGGGGTTAGCTGTTACTGTAAGAGTATAACTGTATAAGACACTACATATTCAAGCAGAGACTAACCAAATCAGTAAGTTATGTCACTGACATGCTAGCATGGTTTCTGAAATAAGGTGCTTGAGAGATGAACTGACCGGCAGTTCGTGGAGATGGCAACTTTTGGTCGGTTCATGGGAAGGCCAAGTAAATAAGCGGATTAATTGATGACCTCTGATCTGGGAAGCTGCATATATGAGCAGCACTCGATGGATGAGATTCTTTGCTTTAGTCCAGTCTACCAGATTCAGAAGCTGAAATGTGGTTTCGACATACGAGAGCAAGGTGTTGGCACAAAGGGAATATTATGCGATCCCAAGAGTCGAGATGCAGCACCCCTCTAGCCGCGCAAACTTGAGAAAGATTGATGCAGAAGGGTAGCTCATTACTCAGGGGGGACAAATCGATGGAGATGAGAATGAGGTCAAGGTGTTGGCCCCCTGATTGGGATGCCTTGCCTGGCAGAGGTGCCCGAAGGCGGCCCGGATGAGGGGGCGGGTTGAGCGAGCGGTGGAAGCTGCGGCGGCATTGGAGTCGAGTGAGAGAGTGATGCGGCGCCGCCATCCCCCACCCTTGCCAAGGATGGAAGGACGGACTGAGGAAGAAGATAGGATACGAGGAGAATGGGCCCTCAGGCCCATCGACAGCAATTGAGGAGGAAGCAGCCCAGGCCTAGAAATGCAAATCACCGGTCCAGCTGCCAGTTCGTGACCCAAATACGACTTCCTCTGTTTGCAGTTCGTGCGACCAATTCGTGGTCCACCTGCTCTGCTCTCCATAATATGGCGCCAAATCGAGTAATGGTGCGCGCGCTTTCGTTCCTCCCTTCGTGCCCACACTCCCCGCCGTGCGCAACGCACAGACATTGCAGAGCAGATGATGATGCCGTTTCCTAACGAAATCTGCACAAACTGCACTTGATGGGCCCTTGGTTTTCCGAACTAAGATATGGCAGTATGCGTAGTGTGTTAGATATTTATGCATGTTTCCTTTTTTTTTCTCGAATACGCAATAGCGTTGCGTGTCATTGTATTAAGAAGAAAACAAGTTTATGCTACAAGAGTGCCGTGAGCGGCCTTTAGTTCTACTAGGGACTACATTTTGAAAATGAACAACCGTGGATCCATGGGAACCAACACTACTGAGCTGCCAGGGTTGCAAGCTTGCTAGCACCAGCTTCAATCCAACGATCAGCTTCGGATCTGGAGAAGCTCGTTCACGGTAGCTGTCGCACTTGGGAAACACCTGGCGTTTCACTCCCTCAGGTGTAGCTTGCCAGACGGCAGTGAATTTGGGAATAGGCCGTATCATTGTCGGGACCGATGCTTAGGAGGTGGTAAAGGCCATCAAGTCCAACTCGTATGAGGGGTCAGCTGTTGGCCATTTGATTGATGAAGTCAAGTCGCTGTTGGGTTCAAATTTGTTAGGCTTTGAGTGTGTTTTTGTTGGTAGAGATTGTAATAGAGCCGCTCATGAGTTGGCTACGCTGGGTTATTTATGTACTGAGGGGTAAAGAGTTGGCCACCAACTCTATGCTTGAGAGTGTTTCTGTAATTGTCGCTAATGATTTGTTAGCCAATGAGTAATGAAGTGGTGCCTAGAATAAAAAAAAAAGGTGTAGCTTGCCACTATGCCTAAAAAATCGGCACTTGTCTCCTAAGGAATTGATCTTTGGCAATGTTAGCGCCCGGATGTCCGAACGAAAGCCCACGGCTGCTCTCCGTTTCCCGCTCATGCTTTGTGCCATGTAGGAGCTGAAGCCTTGCAGCATGATTGGGCGCGGGGGAGGCGGAGAGTGCGGCGTAGGGGAGCGGCTTGGAGAGGAGCGGGAATGGTACGTAGAGGAAGGCTGCCGGGAGCGCTGGCTTGACGGTCGGTGCGGGCATCGCGACTGCACGTGACGAGGAGAGGTCGGTCTCGTGAAGTGGGCAGCAGCGAGGCGGAGTGGGAAACGCAGCAGCAGTGAGGCGGAAGTGGGCACACAACGTCTGAACCGACGCCCGCGTCCAATCATTATCGATTGATCTTATCTTTCATATACTAGGATAATAACCCCCGAAGGACTGCAATTGGAAGGAATTAGCACTCACCATAAGCAACCGCGGAGAAGGGAAATGACTGGCCTTACACTGAGGAAAGAAAAGAGGTAAAAGATACTTAGCTTTTCAGAATTAGTGATTCTGGCTTGCCCAAACACCTAACACGCTAGCACACGGAGGTTGTGGAGCAAATCACGTCACACGCATCAAAAAGCTAACATTGTAATCAAAATAATCACATCCAAAATTACAAACTAAAAAATTCATCACATCCAATAGATCACACATGCATCCATTAGATCTAGAAAAAGATTTCCATATCTAAAACTTTCCTTACTTATTTTATTTTACAAAATAAAAACTTAAATAAATATATTTGACATAATAGATGATAGTAACCATCCGATGTAGGCCCT